ATAAGTAAAATGCTCATGAAGTGACTCATGAAGAGAGCAGTTCTAGAGATTGTTTATGTGTTCATGCACTCATATATTGAGGCTGCAGAGGCTTCAGTAGGCCTATGTGTAGTAAATGAAACCGCATGTCTGCGCTATTAATTTCCACGAGGGGTGGACTGGGAAAAAAATTCAGGTCGGGAAATCTCACACTCATACACCCACAACAAATTCTGAAACATGGACAACCCTATTTTTTGTATGGACCTCACATTAAATCCTTAGGTTGGAGACATGCAAAATAATTAAAAGTTCTCGCCTGAACTGCACCTTCACTTCCATTTTTCTTTGCAGTCTCTTTATTTTGCCCTGATATCTATCTCTCTCGTGACTTTTAATACTCAAGATTTAACAAAACTATACTTTCTAAATTGCCTACATGTCAAAATTAGTACATCACGTCACTATAGAAAAATCCTAATACTGAACACAGGAGTCGTTTTTTCCTTACAAAAATTAACCATGCTTTTATTATAGTAAAAGTACAGTAACCATGTTGTTGTTGTTTTTTTTGTTTTTTTGGCAAATGGATTACCATTTGTATTTATTCTTACTACAAATTCCATGGTTAAACTATGGTTAGTGTAGCAAAAACCATGGTTAATTTGTGGTTACCATGGGTTAACAATAGTAACCATTTGTCTTTGGATTTATAGTAAAATCATCTTTTCGTAAGGGTTGTGCTGTTGTCTGCCCTAGCTGCCCCTAAACCTATTATAAAATATGATTATTTGTCTGCTAAATTACTACTGTAACATTAAAACTACAATAGCATATTTACAGATGAAACTGACCTGCACTTGAAACCCTGAACAGTAGTGTTGCTTCTCTGCTCCATCTGTGCGCTTCCACAGTCCACTCCATTCTCTCTCTCGCATTGATTACTCTTATCCAAACCATTTGGCGGAGGCGCGGAGAGCGCGCGAGCCTAAGCATTGCCAGTCGCGACTAACCGATTCATGATTTATTAGAGATTTCATTATCGAATGGCGAATTCGGAAATAATCGCTTTAGTACATTCGGCAGGCAATTATACAATGATAAAATAAAAATAAAAATAGCGGGCCAAATCGGCAGCCAGGCCACCGGGAATTGTCCCGGTTCTCCCGATGACCAGTGCGCGCCTGATTTCCACAGACACGCAGAACATGCAGGATTCATATATTG